AGGTCCGGGCTGGGGATTCGAACCCGCCACCTTAGGTGTACGTGGCTGGCGCCTTAGCCGGTTGAGCTATAGGCGCCGAGCCCATCAGGTCATTTTTTGAGGCAACCCACCCCATCATTGGATGGTTCTGATAATTTTTTTTGTTTGTTTTTTAAAGTTTATTTAATTTTTTTGCAGTTTTGGTCAGGGCTGAACTTGAACCCGCCACCCTGGATATATGGGGCTGGCACCCTACTCCTTGAGCCACAGGCGGCACCACCTGGTTCTTTCTAAAGTTCACTCTTATTTTGAAGTACATCTATCTTTCTGTAATTTCTTTCTTTTTTTTTTGTATGAAAGGTTTTTATTGGGTGGGGTGGGGGTGGGGGTGGGGATGCCACAGAGCAGCACCAAGGAGGATAGAAAAGAGAAGAGAAAAGAGGGGAGGAAAGAGAGGAGAGGGAGGAGAGAGAGCTCTTTCTGTAATTTCTATTAGCAATAATCATGCCTTGGATAAACCTCATTGGCTATGATACTGCCACTGTGCAAGCTCTGCTATATTTTCTAGACATTGGTTCTAATTGTGCCCTTTGAAACTACATAGTAGTTAAATATTTAGTCTTGGCTGGGTGAGGTGGCTCACCCACCTATAATCCTAGCAAGCACTCTAGGAGGCCAACGCTGGAGAATCGTCAGGAGTTTGAGATGAGTCTGAGCAAGAGTGAGTCCTTTTCTCTACTGAAAATCTTAAATATTAACCAAACTTGGTAGTGTGTACTTGTAGTCCCATCTATTTGGGAGGCTTAGGCATGAGTATCCCTTGAGTACAAGAGTTTGAGGTTGCAGTGAGCAATGATGATGCCACTGGCACTCTAGCCTGGGTGACAGAAAGAGACTCTTGTCTCAAAAACCAAAAATAACCCAATACCCTCCCCCTCAAAAAAATTATTCTTTAACATGACCTACAAAAACAATTATCATAGCTATGCATTGTGGCGGGCACTTGTAGTCTCAGCTACTTGGGAGGCTAAGGCAAGAGAATCACTTAAGCCCAAGAGTTGGAGGTTGCTATGAGCTGCAGGCACTCTACTGAGGGTGACAAAGTGAAACTCTGTCTCAAAAAAGCAAACAAATAAACAACAAAAAAAGATCAGTAGGAAATCAAGTTTTCACATTATGGAACACATAGAATATTACATGTCCATGGAACACTGGGGTAAGTAGATGAAGCTTTTTGCAACCCAATATGCTGGTGGTGGTAGGGAGGGAATCAGCTGCCCTAGGCCTTACTTCTGCTGACTTGAAGGCTGAGGGGACCAAGAGCTGGGGCCAGATGGAACCCCCTGCGGGACATCATCTGAGGATCTCTTCACTAGAGGGTCCACTCGCTGATCCTCTGTACCCAAATCACTTTATTTCAGTTACTAGGACCTGACCTAGTTTTCTTTCCAGATCTCAGTACACCAAGCAGATTCTCACTTCAAGCCTGTTGCATTTGCTGCTTTCTCTGCCTAGACTGCTTTGGCCTCAGAAGTTCTCATAGCTGGCTTCTCATCATTTAGACCATGGATTCACTAGACTGGCTCACTTAGAGGACCACCCTTTCCCTGCCCCCGTCACACTATTTTCTAATAATAGCTTTAGACATTTTCTAGATGATTTGAGTGTTACTGTATCTTTCCCCACACTAGAAAGGTAGCTCCACAACTGCAGGAGTCTCTGCTGCTTTATTCTCTTCTATCCCTAGGGCCTTACACAGCGCCCGGCACACTGTAGGTAGGCACGCAATCAATATTTGCTAAATGAGTGAGTGAATGGGCTCCCTACTCTAGATGTTGAAGGATATTTTTCACGACTCATGGATTATTCTTGTTCCTCAGTTAACACCTTCACTTACCCACTTCCCACAACCAAACTTCTTGGTCCCACCAAAGGGTTTTAGGAGCAATTATTTGGCTAGTTAAGAGTGCTTCTAGTTTCCCTCTTTTCCTCCTGGCCACAGAGAAACCACAGAACCTTACTAGTTCTTTTGCAGAATCCAGATGCACTGTGTCTGCAGTATTCTCGGAAGCCATCAGTTTAGTAACCCTATCAAAACGGAAATGAGCTTAGCTTGGCAGGAAATGAGATCACTTTGGCAAATGATGGTGAAATATTCAACAATATGGGAGTTAATAGTAGTCTGAATTTTTTTTTAAGACAAGGTCTTACACTGTCACTCTTGGGAGAGTGCTGTGGCATCATAGGTCACAACAACCTCCAAATCTTGGGCTCAAGAGATTCTCTTGCCTCAGCCTTCTGAGTAGCTGAGGCTAAAGGTGTCCAACATAATGTCCAGCTATTTTAGAGATGGAGTCTCAATCTTGCTTAGCCTGGTCTTGAACCTGTGAACTTAGGGCAATCCACCTGCCTCGGCCTCCCAGAGTGCTAGGATTACAGGCATGAGCCACCACACCTGGCCTTAGTATCTGAATTAATACAAGACATGTGTTGGCTCAGTGCCTGTAGCTCAGTGGCTAGAGGACCACATGTACTGGGGCTGGTGGGTTTGAACCTGGCCTGGGCCTGCCAAACAACAATGACAAACTACAACAACAACAACAACAAAATAGCTGGATGTCTGTGACAGGTGCCTGTAGTCCCAGCTACTTGAGAGGCTGAGGCAAAAGAATCACTTAAGCCCAAGAGTTTGAGGTTGCTGTGAGCTGTGACATCATAGCACTCTACTGAAGGCAACATAGTAAGACTGTTTCTCAAAAAAAAAGGACATGTTGCAAGGCAGTGTAGTAAGATCAAATGGATGGTTAACATGCAGGACGATTTGGCTTCAGAAAGGGAAGACCCCTGTAAGCTGGTAATTAATCGCTTTCTGTGTATTTCGGGCAGGTGAATATGTAGCAGAGGACTTCTGCATCCTCCCAACCTGAATACAGGTGTGTTAGGGTAACTGTAGGGGGATGGCTTTGCCAGAATCCATATGTACCAATTATCTGTCCTCCCATGTCCTGTGCTAAGCATTTGCTCTCTCTAATCCTCCCAATAACCCTGTTAAGTGGTTGATATTATTCATTTCACAGACAAGAAACTGAAATTTAAATGACAAAAGGACCTGCCCAAGGTCACGCAGTGCACAGTAGGCAGGGAGGCGATCCAGCCCCCATCCTTCCCCTACCTTGGAGCTTTTTTGTCTTTCTGTGGTAAGTCGGGAGGGGGTGGGGAACAATGTCAGTTTAGGGCTCTAATGAATTTTTTTTTAGATAGTGTCTCACTCTGTTGCTGAGTTTGGAGTGCAGAGTTGAAAACCTAGGCTCAAGCCATCCTTCTGCCTTGGCCTCCCAAAGTGCTGGAATTACAAATGTGAGCCACTGTACCGGCACTGAATTATTTTCCAAGCAAACACTAGTTTGAGGATATATAAAATGTTTCATCAATTCTGAAATGTTATATTTAAGTCTTTGGAATTATTCTTGTTAATAGACTACATAACAAAAACAAACAGTAAGAATTGGTGTAGAATTACAGAAAAATATAGGATGGCTATTAAAGGTGATCAACATTCTCAAAACTCCATGTGTCACTGGCTATGAAAAGCCAATGAAAACCATAAAAACTTACCAATAGAATAGATCCATAGTGAAAATAACGATGCTGTTGGTCAAGATGAGTTGAGCTCATTAACCTGTTTCATCCACGTCTTTCCTGAATTTGTGGAAACAATGATGCATTTTTTTTCTTTTCTTTTTTTTTAGAGACAGTCTCACTTTGTTGCCCTCACTAGAGTGCTGTGACGTCACAGCTCACAGCAACCTCCAACTCTTGGGCTTAGGCAATTCTCTTGCCTCAGCCTCCTGAG